TACAGAATAGTTTCTCTCGGCTGCGTCTAACGTTCTTGAAAAGAACCCGATGGGTTTACGTTGCGCATCCGGATGCGTTTGAAATAATGCAGCGCCGATTTGATAGTCGCTTGCATCGGTGTCTACCGAGTATGGTAGGTCCTTCTTCGGCAGCGCTAACACCGGCGGTGCCAAGATAGTGTCCTTGACATTATGAAAAGCTTTCTTGCACGGTTCGTCGAATCCTTCCAACTAGACCGGTTGTCCTTTCTTCAATAGTTGATTGAGCGGATGGGCGATTTTCGCGTAATGTGGGACAAACCGGCGGTACGCTTCGCAGGGGGAGCAGATACCGGGAGGAGGCGTGGACAGAGGTGAAGTATCAAAACTTGATACACATCGTACAGTATGATCGTCATGATCAAATTAAATTTGTTTGATGATGGCGATCATACCATGTGCCACGAGGGGAGCGCGGAAAAAGTTTGGAAAATTGTATAAATTTATGGAGGGCTATGACTAATTCAAGGACACGAAATGAAAGATATGGTGTGAGAGGTTTGCCTCATCTCACGAGGCAATCGTATTCACAATTTGGTGCGCGCTGCACTGGTTTTCCTCATTTTTAACAACGCCGCGCTGCACTGGTTTTCCTCATTTTTAACAACGCCGACACTACCGCTTCAATCCACTTTCTCTCACTCTCCAATCTCACTCTCCAATCTCACTCTCCAATCGTCAGAGAGACTGTAATCGCAGTATACATTCAATCCAAACCCAGTTTGTACTAGTGGAATGATCAAATTGAGAAAACGTCCAACTCGGACGTGCAACCGACACTAAACTAGTGATCAAATTGAGAAAAGGTCCAACTCCAAGGCGCAACCGACACTCCTCTATCACCGTTCTCTGGCGTCCAAATGATATTTAATACCTCTTGACGGAAGCGCCTGCGATTTGTGGTATATAATCACATCCACATACCGCTTTCACGAAATTTCTACAACTCACCTACATTACATACAGCTATATATATATATATTAAATTTACCAACCTTGCGCATATCCGTTCCTCTATGTTACAAACTTCCCTCTTGTCTGCTGATGCTGTCCAATGTTTTTAGATGCAGAGAGAGCTAATCTGCAAGGAAAACAAGGCCAACGCCCCTTCAGAAATTGAATTCCTCTGTGATAACCTCGTCCGCGGGCACGTTCACCGACGACAGCATCGACTTGACACTTTCCATAAAACCTACCGGACCGCAAAGATAAACAACTCGCGACGCAACGTCCGCGACGTGCTCGCCCAAGAAATCCTTTTCGACACGTCCTGAATACTTCTCAATCCTCTCTGATTCATCGCCCCCACCCTCCTTCTCACCCGCAACCTCTTTGCCCGAAATCAACTTGATCAGCTTTGTCCTTCCCTTCGATACTCTCGCGTGCCGGTGCAGTTCGTCCTTGAACGGCATGTCATCCTCACACCGTTCTTGGTGAACCACCACCATATCCGGCGCAACATTTCTCGCACCATCTGAGTGCGCACCAATGCCTCGCAGGATGGCCATGTTGGGCGTGATGCCGATTCCCCCGCTGACCAGCAGCATCTTCTCTGGCAACTCGTTCGTGTTGAACGACATCATGTCCCCACCGATTCCGAGCAGCTTCACCTGCAGTCCCACCTTCGCGTATTCATGCCCGACGCGCCCCCCGTGCGGAAACGTGTGTCCGTCGACTAACACGCACGCCGGACGCGACATGTCTCTTCCCGCAGCCGGCAGCGTCTGCCGGTCGCGAAGCGTGACGGGCTCATTGACCAATCTCATATCTAGGGGGTGCGACAGCTGCATGTAGCGCCTCTGAACGCATATCCGGGGGGCGCGACAGCTGCATGTAGCGCCTCTGAATGCATTTGCTGCCTTTTAGTACATCGTTTCTTTACTTCGTGCCAGTGATGATTAATTATCATACACGGAAACTCACTGCGATCTGCTGAGAATCATCTGGATTTACAGAACACTTGGGGGAGAGAAACCAATGCAGGGTGTGCACAAAACGGCTGATCATCTCAAAGCCTATGAATCGACCCGGGTAAACATGTTCCGCAGTGCACATGCCCTTTACTAGATGTCCTGTGAAAATCGGCCACCCACAGACAGAAAAGAGCAATTCTACATCCTTGGGCAGGATCATAGCTCAGCCGATGTGCTACTGCGCTCTTTGACTCGATACAAATCCTGGCGTACAAGATATCGGTATTTCGGCTGAGACCTTCTGCGTTCGACGTACTTTCTCCGGCGGAAGGTTCACTGTATGTGGAACAGATGAAGGATTCCGGCTGATCGCCAGGAAGCATCACCACATCCAGTTCCTTCTCCCGAAAAACAAACGTCTTTTTTCGAATTTTCGTTGCTGTTGCGACAGTGTCCCCAGACATCAAGGCAAGGCCCCAAGAACTTGGACCCTTCATAGACCAGATGGACCAAACAGTATTGTTCGGGAGTAGTGAAATCGATCCACCGCTACCGTCTCTGTTGAATATGAGAGAAGCGCAGTCTGTCCCAGAGGAACCAGCAGCACATACTCGACGTACCAAATGCCCAGCATTATCTTCAGAAACGGAATCAAGTACAATGAAGTCTTTGAAAGGCATTTTGGCCTACCTTAACGACCTTCCTTCGTCTCGAGTGAAATATTGAGTGGCAATGTACTGGCAAGGGCGTTTAGATGTTAATTGCAAGCCTCCGGAAAAACTAGCGCAACGCCAAACTCTCTGTTTTTATTTGTAATCGAGGCGAACTGCGCCGCGTCGTGGCGCGCGCGGTGATATTTTTTATGAAAACTATTGCGCTGTCTTCTGGTCCGATAAAACACTGGAGTCCTCGGAGACAGCAAGTGCTCAGCGCCAAGCGAGGGAAGTCACTTC